GAGCCGGACTTCCCCGTCGCCGGTAAGCCTTATCTTGCGCCGTATTTGACAGGAATACGACGTCTGTGACCCCCGTTCAACCCACAACCGGCAGGATTTGCCTTTCGTTTCTGCTGCTGGTTGAAATCTGTACTTGTATAGCGTGCTGAATGATTTCTTTTGCTTGCACAAAACTATTTTTAGTCGCAAATACCAGTAAAATGCTCGCACCGTAGAGCTCTGTGGAAAACACATCACTGTAGCATATATAAACAAATCTAACCTACAAGTAAAAAGAAATAAATAGTAACTTTCACTGCTTAAAGATACTCAATAGCTCAGCTAATACCTGACATGTCACTGGATACAAACCACTGCAGCAGCATATTGAGTGCCAGGTGGCCAGCGCACGCCGTTGTTGGACACTCACCCTCTTGTGATTGGACTTTGAACTTATCCCACAGTAGTGGTGCTGTGAGGTACCGTAGCACTACAGTACTCCAACAATGCTAGCGCGTGTGGCAACCAATCATGCGGGACATGGTCTCAATTTGCGTGACGCGTGAAAAGAGACAGAAATGCTGTGCAGTCCCGCACAATGCTGGATGTCTGGTCACCCTACTTCCACGCCACTTGCAAGCAGCAGCTGGTAGGGGGCCCCATTAGGTGGGATTCCAACGTGTTGTCGTTGTTGCAGTGTCTATAGGGGTTCCATCATATTGTCATTGATATGGACCAATGTCAGCCGTCTCTGGGGGCCCCCTTCCAGCTCGGGGCCCTAGGCAGTTGCCTAGTTTGCCTGTCTGGTTGTGACGTATATACGTATATACGTCATATATACGTAGACGCCACATCGAGTGGGTTTGCCTGCTGCTGCGATACGTCAACGTCGCCACCATATTGGATGTGGCAAGGCTGCGCATATACATACATACATACATATATATATATGTATGTATGTATGTATATGTATATATACTGTGCATTGTTTTTCGGCACTACCTTGTTCTCTATAGCTGATGTAAGGTGAATTACTCCTGTGTGGGATCAATCAATCAGTTCTTATCTTAGCCATCTGAGAAGATCAAATACATTGTTTTTGGTGCCTAACTGTTTCCCAAGTATATTAGTGTGTGTGTGAATGAATAAACGAGAGGCATTAACGTAAATTTCTTTGTAGAAAGGCGCTTTATGAAATTAAGTCCATTCACTTGTATTAGTTTACAGCGCAGCCTTGCCACATCCAATATGGCGGCGACGTTGACATACAGCTCAGCGCTCAATGCGGTGTCTATGTATATATGTCTATGGTACTATGCCTTTGAACACACCGTCAGCCTTCTTCTTCTGCTTCTTCTCTGTGTCCCGTTACATTGCATTGTTTCCTGCCGGTAGGCGACACCCACGTAAGGGAGCATTATCGCCATCAGGTGGGCTGGAGTGTATAAAGCCTCAGGGTCAAATGGACGATCAAGTGGAAGTTTAGGCTACACACGGGTGTGAGGCAGCTGAAAAAATAGTTCCACAGTCGAGATGAAGAGCGAAAAAAAAACACAGATGGAAACCACAGTTTGCTACGAAAGCTAAATTCTTTGAAAATGAGCAATCGTCTCTATTTTAGTCTTAACCACTCTATTTCATCATAAACAACCAGAAATGGGGCTCAAAGTGCAAAATACTGGACTTCTCCTTTAATCATGTGATGATCCCTCAGATTTATCTGGTGACCCAACTCGGTCTCTTTCCAAAGTCATTGAAATCTGGCGCTTGGGCAGTGACATGCGATGTCAGACACCGACGAAAGAAGATGTCCTTTAGTGTCTGCTCGATATGCATGATACGCCTTTATAGTTTAATTGCGCTCTGTGGCGTCAGGGGGAAATGTGACAGGACAAGAATGAAAGTTAATGCGGTGCAAGTCTGAGTAGGGCGGTCTAGAGTGGTGGTGGATGGGTCCATTAAACACCAACTTTCACCTGAGAAAGTGGTGTTCATGTCACGTAAGATTCTAAACCCGACCACATGTGTTTGTTGTTGGAGGGAAAAAACGTCATTTTGCAGTGTTGTACCAACATAGTGCTTTTATTTTGAAAGAGACTGTATGCAAACTGTACATTTCCTGTGAAAACAGAAGTGTATTTTGAAAACAGACAATGCATGTAACAGGCTGAAGTTGACACGGCGTCCCAGAACGTCAACAACCAACACACCCAGGGTACCTTGGACGTCATATGTGGACGTGGAAAGTCCATGACCATACGTGGACATGTGACGAGGTCACAGTGAGGATGGGTTGGGTGACCCTTCTGGAGAGGCCCGACCGCTTGGTTGGGAACCACTGGATTAAGCTGTATATAAAGACGTTTAAGATGGCTCCATTGACTGTGACTGTGCAGCGATACGTCATCGTGAGATACATTTGGACTGTAATACTTTTACCAGGGATTTAAATGACTTTTACATACTGCTAGTAAAAGATCTGAGTGCGTCTAGTTTCACCGCTGCTGTTGCTCTGTTCAGGTTATCAAACTGAATCACATTTGAAATGTAGCAGCAGTCTGGTGCCGGGCTGGCTGTGATGCAACGTGTCCTTGCCCTCTCCTTTAACCTCGGAGGGATTGTTTCTGTGGGCGCTCCTCCCCGTGCAGCTCCGCTCGTGACATTAAGCTGCAATGAGACTTTTTCATTTGTCCACATTCCCACTGTTTGTCTGCGGACATCACATGTGGTCTGCAAAGCTGTGGGACTGATGAAACGCAGCAGGATGAGGTTCATCGACCTCAGTCTGCACTCCGAGGCTTTATATCGGCCAAAACCTTTTTTACTTTAATTTAAGGATTTAAAAATGCTTTCTGTAGTAACTGCACAGTAAATGAGATTATTAATCAATGAGGTGATGCTCAGAAAATTAATCATAAACACTTTTTATAATTAAATATTCATAGGTTAGGTTATTTATCAGCTGTTGGGCGAGCAAAATAAGCTTTAAGTTTTCACTATTCTTTTTACATTTTGTAGATTAAACTAATTGATTCAGTGAAAATTTAACAGACAGATTAAACAATAATTAAAATAACTGTTGGTTGCAGCTCTGTTTTTATTCAAAATCTAAATGTCTCATCTGTTTGATCATTATTATTGTTGGGAATTTAATTCTTATTATTTAATTATCTGATCTTATTTGCTTCTTGACATGTTTTAATCCTGGTCCAACCACTTTGTCACTTTGTTCTGAAGCTGCTGTGTAAATAAAGTTTATCATCATGATGTCACTGGACAACAGAAATCTGCCACAGCTTCTCCATACATCTGAACAGAGATTATCTGCTGTCGTGCCAGCGAGCTTCATTTGCATCTGAGCATGTGCAGAAGAGTTTGAGGATCAAGGTGGGTTACAGGAGTTGGCGTGCGGTCCCTTACCTGGGAGTCCTGTTTTAGCTTCACCCGGTGGGAACAGGTCTGCACCAGCGTGGGTTTGATTATTCTCTGTCAGCCCGGCTGATGTGGGCGGCGGAGAATCTGCTGAACTGGAGGAGAGATGCACTCTCAAACTCAAAGTGTGACTTTGTGACATTATCACGCTATCAAATGAAACCTCAGAGGAAGTATTCAGATCCTAAAGTACTAAAAATACTTTGTTACATGAACAATCCTGCATTGAAAACGTCCCTTCAGTGAAAGTATGAAATCAGGAAAATGTAGTTTAAGTATTAAAAGTAGAAAAATGTTCTCGTATTATATTTGATCTCCAGAGGAAAATGTTGGAATTGTATGTTTCTGCAAACCATGATGATGTTTTCATGTTTTATACGTATCATATCAACATTTCTAAAGTGACGTATCACATGAGCTGACTGTGTCGTGTTGTCGTCTGGAGTCTGAGGGGCCCCTGCACCTGCCAGGCTGCAGAGCACTGCTCACGACCAACAAACAACAAAACCAGCTGTGATTTAGTCGTGGCTGTTTTATAAGCTTAAATCATGGGTGATTTGTAGAGACCTGTCAGTGTGTTTCCTGCCAGGATAGTGCCACAGAAAGTAGTTTTTGTTGTTGTTTGTTTTTTAATAGAAACATGGCTGCATTTCCTGCTGCGATGGTGCAGTGAAAAGCAGTTTCTTTTTTTTATTTACAAAGACATTACTGTGTTTTCTGCTGGAATAGTGACACAAAATACAATTGTTTTTTTTTCCGTCGGGTTAGTGGCAAAATAAGCAGTTGTTTTTTTTACCAAGATGCCGCTGTGTTTCCTGCTCAGACAGTGACCTAAAAAGCAGTTGATTTCTATGAAGACATGGCTGCATTTCCAGCTGGACAGTGGCATGAAAAACGGTTGTTTTATTACTGAGACATTGTTGTGTTTCCTGCCAGGATAGTGCCACAGAGTGTGTTCTTCTTGTTGTTCTTTTGTTTTTTAATAGAAGAATCATTGCATTTCCTGCCGTGATGGTGCCATAAAAAGCAGCTGTTAATTTATAGAGACACTGATGTGTTTCCTGCTGGCGTAGCGGCATGAAATGTGATTGTCTTTTTCCTGAAAAATTGCCACATTTCCTGCCAGGTTAGTGACCCCAGAAAGCATGATTTTGTTTTGTTAACCAAGAAAGATGCCACTGTGTTTCCTGCTCGGAAGTGCCACAAAAAGCAGCTGATTTTTACAGAGACATTCCTCATTTCCTGCTGAGATAGTAGTAAAAAAAACATGCATTTCTTACCAAGATACCGCAGTGTTTCCTGCCAGGATAGTGCCACAAGAAGCTTTTTTTTGTTTTGTGTTTTTTTTTCCCCTCCAACAGAGAAATCGCCACATATCTTGCCAGGGTAGTGACCTAAAAAGCAGCTGATTTCTACAGAGACATGGCTGCATTTCCAGCTGGACAGTGGCATGAAAAACGGTTGTTTTATTACTGAGACATTGCTGCGTTTCCTGCCAGGATAGTGGCATAGAACGGGTTTTTCTTGTTGGTCTTTAGTTTGTTAATAGAAAAAACGTTGCGTTTCTGTCGAGGCAGATAATGTATCACTTTATACCAAAGGTGAAAAATGAGGTCAGTTACACTAGGTTTAGGAAGCAGCTGGTCAAATATCAGATCTGGCAGTAAAAAGGACCCATAAGAGGTGTTTTGATCATTTGAGTATTTGTGTGTAAGTCAAGCCTTGGGAGGTTAAATGAAGGAGAACGTTCTGGGTTAGGGTGACCTGACCGTTGGAACAGTTGTGCCAAGTTTCGCAATAGGAATGGTTGTTTTTGCCAGAAAGACAAAGAAGATAGAAAATATTGACGCACAAAGTCCAGCTCTAGGAATAAGTAGGAAACCAGGAGAACTTTGGATTCCCAGAAAATACAACCTGAGCGTGTTCACACACACACACACACACACACACACACACACACACACACACACACGTATATGAAGGAGCAGACGCCCAGTATAAAAGTGCTTGAAGGGTGATTGTTCAGGGCTGTTTCCATCTGTTTTGCTGTGTAGACTTGTATACTGTTGTATGCTAAAGTTCTGCGATTAAAGTAACCCCATTGGCTGTAACTTTTCTCCGTGGTTCTCTGAGTCTCTTCATTTCAGTGTTTGCTGAAGTTGACCATTTTCCTTACATAATTGGCGTCATGAACAGTCGTCTCTGAAGGGAGGACGGCATTTAGTGGTGACTCCGAGGAGCATCCTCCCTGCGTGGGGTGACAGGCGCGCCAAACAAAAGGTAAGGACTTTTAAAACTCCTTACACAAATTCTGAATTGGCTAAGATAAAATCACCCTGAAAATCTCAGTCACTGTGCGCGGCTGGGTGCTCCAAGAGGTCACGGCATACCAATATCCCTCGCAGACAGAGAACTTGGCGGGGGAAGGAGAGCAAAGGAGAAAAGAGAGCCAGACTTCTGTGCACAGAGCAGCCACTAAGAGACAAGCTGAACTTAAGAGAGTGAAATGAAATTTGATTACGAGTGATTGGCATTGTGTCTAAAACAAAATAGACAGAAATTAAAAGAGCAGCTGGGTGAATAGATGATTGGTCAAGCCTGAGGGGGGCCAAGTCGTGTGTTGGAAGTCTAGAAAGACTTCAGGTCCAGAGGGACCCAGAGGAAATCCAGAGGGATTTAAGAGGTCTAAGAGAGACCAGGATTAGAGTCCAGAGGGACTTAAGAGTTAGTTTTAGGCAGGTCTAGAGAGACCGAGATCCCATGTCCAGAGGGATATAGCTTAGACAGGGATGCTGATGTGAGTCTAGAGAAAGACTGCGCAGACTTTGTCGGGTTTGAGTGAAACCTGAGGCTTCTTGCTATTTCCGGCAATCGGAGAAATAGCTACCCCTACTTTGACAGCTTTGAGTGAAAAGTGTGGCCAGGGTTCGGGCAACCAGAGACCAATTCACTGGTGAGCCGAGTGTCTGCAGTAACGATTAGTGGCACAAATTGATGACTTTAAATTCAGAAAGGGTGCCAAGAGATAGGAGCGCCGAGAGAGGCAATTAAGCTCCTATGAACCAGGAGGTGGTCTGAAGAGAAGAGACCATACGCTGATATAGAAAATAAAATATAGAAAGAGGCCTATAAATAGAGAAAATATGAAGGAATCCAGCGGGATAATACGGATAACACCAGTAGTATAAAGGAAATAACTGGAAAATTACAATTTGGGGAAAAAAAAAACAAAAACAAAACCTGAGTGTATGGACTGCAGTATGTGTGTGTGCCTGTACATGTGTGTGTGTAAGACTCTGGGCTGAACACCAAGAGCGCCAAGCAGAAGGGAACTGTTAACCCTTAGTTGTGTAGTACCTGAGAGAAGCGTATGAAAGCTGTGTCTAGAGTGTGAATGTGTTTGTGTTGAAGTAAGACAGACGAAAGTGTGTCTGAGACAATAGTAAAGTTGGAATTTGCGTTGTGTTGAGAGGGGAAGATTGGTGTGTGTGGTGTCCGGGTGGAGGCTGAAAGAGAGAAAGTGTGTTTGAGGAAATAGTTGTATAGAGAGTTGGATTTGTGTGGAGAGAAGTTGTCCCATAGACAGCTGAGAACAGACTGAGCCAGTAATTGATCAGCAAACTAAGGGGGGAGGAGCCTGGGGACACAGACACAGACCTTTTTAAAAATAGTTTAGGTGCAGTACACAGTCCGCTCCCAGCCCCTCCTTTCCAGAGCGCCAGCAAAAGTGAAAAGTTTGAGCGCTCTTCTATTTTTGTTTCCTAGAAACCAAAACACTTAAAGGGGAGCAAATAGGAAAGACACACGACGACACATAAGAACACAAATTTACATAAAACAATTGAACTACAATCTGAAATAATGCATCAAACACCAGTAGCTCTGCTGGGAAGCAAAAATCCTGACATTTTGAAAGACATCCAGAAAATTTCAGAGAAATGGGAAAAACGAGTCAAGGGACTAGAATACCCTTGGCCGAAGGGAGGCACGTTTGACATGATGGTTTGTGAGGGTATGGAAATCAGAATAAGAGATTACAAGCCTAAAGACCAGTCAAAGAAACGTCAAGAAAAGAGAGAATTGGAATTGAAACTTTTGAAGATGTTCACTACTTAAAAAAAACAGACAGATATAATAATGAGCACTATATGGCTCCAATCTTAATAAAGGGGACCCAGGGAGGTTATATCCCGTGGCAGACCCTGGATCTGACCGGCCTGGTCTCCAGACTCCCTGATATCCATAGTGAGGGCGAATCCCACAACAGTCCAAGTCAAAGGAAACACGACGTGGTGTTTTCTGAACCATTGCACCAAGGCAACCTAAAGAGACTGCTCCACGGAGCCCTAGTCAGACTCTGAAGACGAGGTGCACGAGACATCTGCTGGAGTCACAGCTGCTCCAGGAAGCAATGCACAACCATGTTCAAGATAAGTATGATGCAACCACAAAATTCCCAATTCACACTGTGTTGAAACCCATGGCAACATTCTCAGGTAAGTTTATTATGACTGTAAGCTGTATAGTCAGGAGCAGATTACACGAATAACACTTTGTCTGACGGAACATTTCCTGTTGCTATGAATAAGCTGAAGCTTTGGAAGTTTGAAATGACTGAAAATGCTGTTAAGGGCGGAAGCATTAAGTGGGATGGGCTAGAGGAAATTTTTGGAAAATGGGGAGCTGTTTTGGCTAAGACAGGGATAATTATACTGATAGTACTAACTCTGTTTTCCTTGTTGACATGTTGCATCGTGCCTATCCTGAAGAAATGGTGTGTGAGAGCAATGGACAAGAGGCTGAACCTCGTAACGGACATACAAGGAGCACAAATGCTAAATATGATGACCCCTGAACAATTGGTGCGCAGAATTCCTCTGGCGCAGAGGGGGGAGGAAATACCAGATTTGTTCCCAATCCCTGATTACATGGACGATTCAAAGGACGAGGAGGAACTGTGAGAGAGAATGATGAACAGTGGCTGACACTCATATTCATTTTCTGTATTCAGTTTTGTGTTTTGATTTTACAAGAGGAAAATGTATTAGCAATTTCGACTTAGCAAGTTATGCATATCATCCAAAATGATTTCTGTGATTCCATTATATTCTAATGAGTAAGTTGCATTCTACTGTGTTATGTGTTTGATCAATCTGTTTAAGATTTATCTGCTAGACCGTCTAACAGGAACGGGCTGATGGGGTATCACTTTATACCAAAGGTGAAAAATGAGGTCAGTTACACTAGGTTTAGGAAGCAGCTGGTCAAATATCAGATCTGGCAGTAAAAAGGACCCATAAGAGGTGTTTTGATCATTTGAGTATTTGTGTGTAAGTCAAGCCTTGGGAGGTTAAATGAAGGAGAACGTTCTGGGTTAGGGTGACCTGACCGTTGGAACAGATGTGCCAAGTTTCGCAATAGGAACGGTTGTTTTTGCCAGAAAGACAAAGAAGATAGAAAATATTGACGCACAAAGTCCAGCTCTAGGAATAAGTAGGAAACCAGGAGAACTTTGGATTCCCAGAAAATACGACCCAAGCGTATTCACACACACACACACACACACACACATATATGAAGGAGCAGACGCCCAGTATAAAAGTGCTTGAAGGGTGATTGTTCAGGGCTGTTTCCATCTGTTTTGCTGTGTAGACTTGTATACTGTTGTATGCTGAGTTCTGCGATTAAAGTAACCCCATTGGCTGTAACTTTTCTCCGTGGTTCTCCGAGTCTCTTCATTTCAGTGTTTGCTGAAGTTGACCATTTTCCTTACATTTCCTGCCAGGATAGTGCCATAGAACGTTTTTTTTTCTTGTTGTTCTTTTGTTTTTTTAATAGAATAAATGTTGTGTTTCCTGGTTATGTCGCCATGTATCATGGCGACATAACCAGGTGTTGAAATTTTTAGCTGCAGGAATCGAAGGTAAAGGTGAATTCAGAAGGTGTTAAGGATAGGAGTTTAGCAATTCAGTTTGTCCGTGAGGGAGAGAAACACAGAAGAGATAAGTTAGTGAGGAGGCAAGGGTGTGGCCGCCTAGAAGGTGCTTGTGATTGGGAAATGCAAGTAGATTTAGGGGGAAAGCTTGTTGTTCCCCAGGAAATAGTTTGTACCAGGCAGAGGCCTGACTTAGTGTTGTGGTCAGTGAGTCAACAGATAGTTTATTTCATTGAGCTGACAGTTCCTTGGGAAGACTCAGTGGAAGAAGCCTATGAAAGAAAAAAGCTTAGATATGCAGACTTAGGAGCAGAAGCTGAGCAGCGAGGATGGAAGACTAGGATTTGTCCAGTGGAAGTGGGGTGTAGGGGATTCATAGCAAGATCAGCTGTCTCACTCCTGGGGGAACTCGGAGTGCGGGGACAGAGTTTGAGGAAGACAGTGAGGGAAATGTCAGATGAAGCAATTAAATGCAGCCAGTTTATCTATTACAGAAGAAATAATGTCAGCTGGGGGCCAGCAGGGGGAACTACTAAGCAGGGCACATAACTCCTTGAGATCAGGTGGAGAGATCCACTTCCTGTCAGGAGAAATCCAGGAAGAGGAAGTATTTAAGTGTGGGAGTGGCCTATTGGAATCCATTTTGTTTGAGGCCATGCGGCAAGGTGAGTGTGCTTGCTGATCCTGTAAGTCCAGTTAGCTCCTTTAACTTTAGCTTATATTGTAGTTATGCTATGTAGTGTGTGAAATAGAGTATGGTGAATGTGACAGGAAAGCTAGTATCAGCATTGCTTCTGCCTGGAGCTCGCATGTATGGAGCCTGGGTTTGGTTGAAGATGGCAGTGCTGTTTGGGCTGAGAAAGCCATGTGTAAGTAAGAAGGAAATCCAGGAAGAGGAAGGTTATTTAAGTGTGGGAGTGGCCTATTTGAATCCATTTTGTTTGAGACCATGCTGCAAGGTGACTGTGTTTGCTGATCCTGTGAGTTCATTTAGCTCCTTTAACTTTAGCTTATATTGGAGTTATGATATGTAGCGTGTGAAATAGAGTATGGTGAATGTGCTAGGAAAGGTAGTATCAGCCCTGTCTCTACCTGGAGCTCGCATGAACGGAGCTGTTGAAGGTGGCAGTGCTGTTTGGGCTGAGAAAGCCATGTGTAAGTAAGGTAAAGGAGGTTGTTGGGTTGGTGTGGGGAGCAGTGAGACCTGGCATTAGGGGAGTGTCTCTGGGACGCCAGAGATCACTGTCTAGCCTCCTGGAGGTGTCGTGGGACCAACTAGACGAAACACTGGTGAAAGGAGGTTCCCACCTGATGACCCCAAAGACATGCTAGTTATCACTGCTCACTGGTTTGTCTTGCCATAATAGCTTATCATAGGGCTTAGGAGGTTATTCACTGAGTGCTGATCCTTTCTCTAGAGCACAAACTTCTTGTGTTTATTTGAATTCAGGATAGTGCCACAGAGTGTGTTTTTCTTGTTGTTCTCTTGTTTTTTAATAGAAGAATCATTGCATTTCCTGCCGTGATGGTGCCATAAAAAGCAGCTGTTAATTTATAGAGACACTGATGTGTTTCCTGCTGGCGTAGCGGCATGAAATGTGATTGTCTTTTTTCTGAAAAATTGCCACATTTCCTGCCAGGTTAGTGACCCCTAAAAGCATGATTTTGTTTTGTTAACCAAGAAAGATGCCACTGTGTTTCCTGCTCGGAAGTGCCACAAAAAGCAGCTGATTTTTTTACAGAGACATTGCTGCATTTCCTGCTGAGATAGTGGTAAAAAAGCGTGCATTTCTTACCAAGATACCGCAGCGTTTCCTGCCAGGATAGTGCCACAAAAAGCGTTTTTTCTTTTTTGTTTGTTTTCCCTCCAACAGAGAAATCGCCACATATCTTGCCAGGGTAGTGACCTAAAAAGCAGTTGATTTCTACAGAGACATGGCTGCATTTCCAGCTGGACAGTGGCATGAAAAACGGTTGTTTTATTACTGCGACATTGCTGCGTTTCCTGCCAGGATAGTGCAGTTAAAAGCAGTTTATTTTTTTTAATTTACCAAGACATTACTGTGTTTCCTGCCAGGATACTGCCACAAAACGCAGTTGATTTCTTCAGAGACATGGCTGCATTTCCAGCTGGACAGTGGCATGAAAAACGGTTGTTTTATTACTGAGACATTGTTGTGTTTCCTGCCACAATAGTGCCACAGAGTGTGTTCTTCTTGTTGTTCTTTTGTTTTTTAATAGAAGAATCATTGCATTTCCTGCCGTGATGGTGCCATGAAAAGCAGCTGTTAATTTATAGTGACATTGATGTGTTTCCTGCTGGCGTAGCGGCATGAAATGTGATTGTCATTTTTCTGAAAAATTGCCACATTTCCTGCCAGGTTAGTGACCCCAGAAAGCATGATTATGTTTTTGTTAACCAAGAAATTGCAGCATTTCCTGCCAGAATAGTGGCACAAAAAGCAATTTAGTTTAATGGAGACATCGCTGTGTCTCCTGTCAGAGTAGTGCCACAGAAAGTTGATTTGTTGTTGTTGTTTTAAGAAACAAAAAGGTGCCATGAAAAGCAGTTGATTTTTACAGAGACACTGCTGCATTTCTGGGCAAGACAGTGGCACAAAAAGTGGTTGTTTTATCACAGAGACGTTGCTGCTCCTCCTGCAGGGACTGTGCCTTCAGATCTGGGTATTTCAAGCCAAACCAGGAACTTTTTTGGACCATAACCAGTTGAATCTTGTGCCTAAACCTGACAACACGTTAACAACAGTGCTGTTGAAATGTTGTAATTAAAGTTTCAATGTACCCACCACACAATAATGTGCAAATAAAACGTATCAGTGGTTTGCAGAAAAATACAGTGCCAACATTTGTTCTGGCAGCCATGTTGGATATCATTAGATCACTATTCCTCATGTATTAGTGTAAAATTAGGATTTTATTGTTGTAGTTGTTTGAGGTGCATGGAGCTCATTTTCAACCATTAACTAGCGGTTATTTTCAGTTTGGGTTTGTCTGCTGATGATTTTCTCCTTTAAGTATTTCTCAGTGAGATGTAGTGGAGTAGAAGATGAGCGCTGCATTAAAGGAAGACGCTCAAGTAAAGTACAAGTACATCAGATTTGTAACTGCAGAGTCAGTTTGACTTCAGTAAAGTGACTCTGAGCTGCTTCACAGATCAGACCGTCAACATCTCTGTGTCACACTGTGTCTCTAGATGGTGTGAAACATGTTATCTGTTACATGATGTCCACAAGTGTTGCATGTTTCTGACGCTGACCACAGACTGACCTCCACCCAACTCTGTGACTGCAGGGTGGAGAGGAGGCAGAGAGGAGGTGGAGGTCACAGGGAGTCTCTTCAGAGATTAACACCTTGTAGTTTCCCCAAATCAGTCACCACATCACACACACACACACACACACACACACACACACACATCTGTCTGTGCGTTCAGGTTGGATGACAGTTTCAAAACAAACACACGTCTTCTGAAGCGAATCACCACTTTACAGAAATAGAAACTTCTGCTTTTGTCCACCCTTAAAGTGTGTAAGTGGGCGTGTGTGTCAAGAGAATGAGTCTCAAATCTGATTATTATTCAAAAATAATAATTATTTTTAAACTAATTTCAGTAGGCCAGCACCACAGAGACACACAGGAGCTTCCTGTTCGGCGTTTCTCTGTGAATGTAGAAAATGTGATTAACCTGCAGATATCACGCGTGATCTTTTTGACAAGCTGGTTGAACCAGTTATGTTGTTCACATGTGAAGTTTGGAGGTTTGAGAGAATAGATAGATTGGGAAACTACATGTCAAATTTCTAGAATATATGCTCAAAGTTAAAATGACAACCTGCAGTAGGGTGTTAATGTGTCACCATGGTTCTCACACGTTGAGCAGATGATTTGTCTCACCTCAACATCAGCTGGTTAAAACTGACTGTTGAACAGAGGCGACAGGATCAGTTCATCAGGTCAAAGTGGCAAAGTGAGCTCAGAAACATGACATGCCATGTGATATATGTGTCAAGAGCTTAAACTGGAGATGTATCTGCTGCATGAAACCCAAAAGTACAAAAGATATAATGGTGAAAATGTGTCTGGTGAACTGGAGATCTTCAGCCATCCTCACATCAGCACATCAGGAGGAGGCAGTGAGTGAACTGTCACTTTAACCTTTGAACCCTGAACACACTGGAACAGTTTCTGTCAAAAACACGGGGAAAAAGGCAAAAGAGCAACTTGGTAAAACATGCCCCACAAATTCGAAAAAAAGTAATAAAAAAAGATTAATAGATTTAGATTAAAAAATGTAGGGACAACAATATTTGTAATTACTATTACATTTTAGAATCATTTTTCATTATAATTTTTAAGCACTCTTTTTTTCAGTAATTTTTTTGTTTTTAATTTTCTCTTTTTAATAACTTCTTCCTTTTTTTGGTCATTTCTTTGTTAACTTTTTAAGTATTTTTTTTATTTTGCCTTTTTACTAATTTCTTGCTAATATTTTGGGTCATTTTTTTGTTTTTAATTTTTTTTAAAACTAATTTTCCTGTTTTTGATTTGGTCCTTTCTTTTAAACTGATTTCTTACTAATTTTAGGGTCTTTTTTTTTTTAACTGATTTTCTTGTTTTAATGTTTCTCTTTTTACCAATTTCTTACAAATTTTGGGGGTCATTTCTTTGTTTTATCTTTTTCTTTATTCTGTTTTTTTATTTTTATTTTTTACAAATGGTCTTGTTTTAATTTTCTCTTTTTTTAACTAATTTCTTGGTAATTTTATGGGGGTCATTTCATTGTTTTAAACTTTTTTAAACTAATTTTCCTGTTTATAATTTGTTTCTTTTTTTTTTTTTTACTAATTTCTTACTAATTTTTGTGTCTTTTTTTTTTACTGATATTCTTGTTTTAACATTTATCTTTTTAACTAATTTCTTGGTCATTTTTGGGGGCTCATTTCATTGTTTTAAACTTTTTTTAAACTAATTTTTTTATTTTTATTTTTCTCTTTTTACTAATTTGTAATCATTTTTGGGGGGGTCACTTCTTCTTCACCTTCCTCTCATGTTTTTAAAACAAACCTAGAGTCACAAGTCAATTTTGGCAGAACCTGCATAATTGGTTAAGTACTGCAATAGAGAATATCACACCTTTTGATATGAATCAAATCCTAATATACAAGAATGACATCGCTAAAGAAATATCTGACATGATCAATACTATCATGATTATGGGAAAATATCATATACATGCATGTAAATGGAGAAATCAAAGACCTTCACTAATATGTTTTAAGAACGAACTTAAAATCTTTTATTCCTCTCTATTACTTTTAGCTGAAAAATATGGACCAATACAAAAACTTTGCAATATGTTACAATTTTTAATGCTTTAACTGATCGAAATGTCAATGTCTAAAAAACAAAAACAAAAAAAACCAACTTGTTAATGTGTCCTTAAGCATCATTTTCATGTGGTTGAAATGTGAATGATATGGTGAGAAGGATTGTCTCATTGCAAATGAGGGACTGCCTGTATTATTTATTTATTATTGATTTATTTTCTAACATGTCATAGTATATATCTATATTTTTATTGGAATTTATGTTTATATATATCCACTTAATTTACTGAGATGATAGTCTTGATGTTTATTTTTCTTTTTGCCTTGCACAAGTTCATATTTTTTTTGTAAGAATGCAAAGTGGAGATTCTTACTTGATGTTGTAATTATTGTATTGTTCAATAAAGTTTGGGGGTAAAAAAACCAAAACAAAAACAAACCAATCCAAAGTGCTCAGGTTTCAAATGGTTAAATCTAAGATGGAGGTCAGCTGACTCGAGCACACCTGTCCAGCCGTGATGCCTCCGTTAAACTTTTGGCCCCTCCAGGCGCTGCTGCGCACCTGCGCTCAGTGGGCGTTCCTGGGCTCGTGCGCTCCTGTGAGGCGCAGACGGCAGCGCGCGGCGCGGCAGCAGCGACCTGTCTCTTTAAGTTGGTGTCAAAGCGGATTATTGCTGATCTCCGTCGTGATTCGGTTTTCACCGTCTGTTCCCTCCGTCTATTTCTGTTCCGCCGGGACGGTAAGCTCTGCTCGGGCTCAGAGGAACGGGCTCCGGTAACTCCTGCTCCAAAGTTTGGAGCATGGCAGCTTCGTGAAGTGTCTCCCGCGGTGCTGCTCGGTGTGAAGCCCGCGGTGAAGCTCCGGTGAGCCGGTGAGTGATGCGCGCTGCGCCGCGGACTCTCCAACTTTTCCTGCCATGGTAAGCCTGGATTACTCTCCTCTGCTAACGGACATCTTTACCGCGTCTGTGCGCTCATAACGGCCGTGACACACTCCCGGGAGGTGTGATGTGACGCCCCGGTGACTGTTCTCAGTTGGCACCGGATTAAAAGAATAAAATGCAGAAGGGCGTGCGATACAACGAGGGCCACGCGCTCTATCTGTCGGTGGTGGCGCGTAAAGAGGGCTCCAGGCGCGGCTTCCTGAGCAAGAAGACCACGGAGAACAGCCGCTGGACCGAGAAGTACTTCGCGCTCTACCAGAACGTGCTCTTCTACTTCGAGAACGACCAGAGCGCGAGGCCCTCCGGGATCTACCTGCTGGAGGGATGCACGTGCGAGCGCGCACCTGCGCCCAAAGTCTCCGCCATCAGCAAGGAGCCCATGGAGAAACAGCAGGTGGGTCCCACTCAGCTGGACTGGGAGAGGCACACACATCCCAGTCACACCAGTAACAAGCTCACACACAGTTCAGAGGCTGCTGGTGAATGTAACGTTTCATTTCTGCAGACTTACTGCTGCCTGTGTTTCACCTGTTAGACTGTCTCTGCTCCACATGTGTGGTGTCATGTTTCAGCACAGACCCAGCTGTGTGTCTCATTTCTCATTTTGACAGTCTGACAAAATATACAGCTGCAAAGAACCTGAAACACCTGCAAAATGACGCAAAAACTGACGTGATAATCTCTGAAGATATATTTTATAGAGCGGTTAGAAAATGTAAGAAATGCAGTTTTACTATTTATACACACAAATCCAGCAGAATAAGAAAGAAATAAAACTGTCATGTCTGTTTATGTGTAATGTTTGTGCCTTTTTCACCACAGTCACAGTATCACATCATAAATCACTGATATTAATAATTCACAGTTTTAAAAACATTTAATTGCTTCCAGACATAAATGAGCTGCTGTGTGAAATCCCCACCTGATGTATGAAGTTATATTGCTGGAGATAAAACATGCTCAGAGCATTCACAGATGAATTTTGACCTTATTTGCCTCTGAAATATTCAAATTGGAGCTATGTTGACAGTGTGTGTAGCAGTGTGTGTAAATCATGGGCAGATCATGAGACAGTGGGCCCCTGAAAGGTTCAGAAATGCAGGAGGCTCCTTCACCTCTCCAACATCGGAGCGAGACACAGACATTGTGGTGGTTTAACATGTTTTGGTGACTTTCAGTCTCTGTGCGGTGGTTTGTGTCTCTGAGGTAACTGTGTCTGTTTTAGTGGTTAAATGTCTGTCGGTGGTCGTTTTGCATTTTGAGTCTCTTCCTAATATGAGAAACATTTTGCAGGTGAGGGCAGGGCGGCCCCTCTGACACTTAGGGTCTCTGGGCCTGCTCAGTAATCCATCTCCTCGCTCAAATCTTCGTCTTCATCTGGTGGATTTTTGCTGACTCTAAGTCTGTTGCTTGAACCACAGATTGTACATATTTTACTCTTTAACTGTGATACCAGGTGTATCACAGTTAAAGAGGTGAATAAAGGCGATTAAACTGATCTCCGTGTAAACCCTCATTCAGAATGAATGTTTCCCATGTAAACTACCTGGAAAGACTTTAATTCAGAATGGTTTCATTCAGATTTATTTAATTCTGAATGAGAAGCCATCATGTAACCGTAGCCAGTGTGTCCAGTATGTCAGATTGTCCTCATCAGCCCTGCTCAAAGTGTAGTGGTGAGACAGGCTCGCAAAAGGCTCGCAGTTTATTTTCACATTTATTACACTGAAAATCACATTTGTTTTTCACTTGAGGCGTTCGCCTGAACACAGTTTACTCGAGCTCTGGCAGTTGATTACAGTCCTATCTTCTGGTAGCTGTAGGTTTCTCCCTCCCTGGTAGCTATCGGCATAGATATAGAAACACAGATGCCTCATTGGCTGCTGGATCGTACGTCAACATCTGGTAGTTTAGGGTTTCCTCCCTCTTCTGCAGCCCTTTTGCTCTGTTTTCTCTCGTCATGTTGCACCAATGTCAAAGTATTTGCATCTTTCTGCTGCTGAAACAGCCCAGTTTATTAAAACAACACCTCTCCAGCAGTGAAATTATTCTTTAAACACAACTTCCAACGAACATTTTGCAGATTATTTTCTTTAGACATGTTTTTTGCTTCAGCTTATTATGAAGTAAATGTTGACAACACCTGTGTGTAGACTGGTTTCCTGTAGGTCTCCCTTTAGCTATGACTTTGTGTTTGCCACCGGTTACGATCTCAAGGGAAATGATGGTTCAATTTATGGCACAAAGGAAGTGTGTCAACCACTAAGCAACCAAAATAGACAGAGGGTGGTGATGTTGTTTTCCCTGGTAGCTATTGGCATAGATGTAGAAACGTAGATGCCTCATTGATGCTGGATCATACGTCAACATCGTTGCCATATTGGAGAAGGAAAGACTTGTCTGTAGACCAATTCAGGTGAACGGGGGAGCTGTGGTTTTCTGGATAAAAAGAACTATAACGTTTACATTTCTCAACCATTTGTAATGTGCCATATTTATAGGTTGGATTTATGATCTGTGTGTGGGAGAAAAAAAGGTTTTGTCGTCATATTGAGTAGAATCTTGAAAGTTTTCCATTTTAGTCTTTATGTAAAAAGTCAGAAAACAATAGTGAGAAAGGCTCGTCCCAAGTTCCCAGAGCCCACGGTGACGTCTTCACAACCCCAAAGTATTAAGTTTACGATCATAGAATATCAAGAAAATTGAAAAATCTTTGCATTTTAAGAAGAGCAAGTATTTTGAAAAAGATGTTGGGACATTTCCAGCCATGTTTGTGGCAACGAGAGGATTTTTTTTTAACGAGACGCTGGGAAATTTCAAGTTTGTGGCAAGGAAAGCAGTCTGTGGTGACAAAACCAGGTAATATTTAACAAGACATCAGGATATTTTTGGCCGTGTTTGTGGTGACCGAATTGCATATTTTTAACAAGAGGTCACAACATTTCCAGCTGTGTTTGTTGCAACTAAATGGGGTATTTTAAACGAGACGACAGGGAATTTCCAGCCACATTTATGATGAGCAAGCCGTGTATTTTTTAAGAAGACACTGGGACATTTACAGCCTTGTTTGTGGTAAAGAAAGCAGGTATTTTTAACAACACCTCGGCACATTTCCAGCCACATTTGTGACCACCAAGCCTTGTTTTTTTTTTAACGAGATGTTGAGATGTTTGTGGTGACAAAACCAGGTCATTTTTAACAAGACGTCAGGACATTTTTAGCTGTTTTGTGGCCACCAATTTGCGACGATGAGACATTTTCAACTGTGTTTGTGATGACCACACTGTATATATTTTTTAACAAGATACTGGGACATGTACAGTTATGTTTGTGTGGACCAAATCGGGTATTTTTTAAGAAGACATTCGGACATTTCCAGCTGTGTTTTTGGTGACAAACCAGGTATTTTCCAGGGCATTTTCAGCCATTTTTGTCAAACAGACCAGGTATTTTACGCAAGAACATGAAGTTCTCCTGACCTTAACCAAGTGGTGTTTGTGCCTAAACCTAACCACACTCTAACCCCAATGTTGTTAAAACATAAAATTGAAACCCAACATATTAAGTTTACTATCACAGAAGATCAAGAAAATCGAAAAATCATTACATTTGAGAAGCTGGAACCTTTAAGTGTCTTTAAATTAATGCCTTTTAAAATTTTCCGTCTATTGATTACTCTACTTTTATCTCAGTCTTCATCGTTCATCCTCTCATGCTTCTGTCTTGGAGCTTGTTGCCAGACTTTAATTTTGTTTAGACTGTTTGAGAAACGTCTGACTTACACAACGTCAATGTTTTGCTGCAGAATATATTAAAAAGGAAAATTTGCTGCACACATCTCATCGTCTGCTGCTTCTCTCTCACAGCTGAAACATCCTTGACTCTGTAATGTGTTGAAAATAGCCCGACCTTTATAGAGATCGTCCCGTATAACGAGGTGAACAAAGAGCCTGATGCTGTTGAAGACTTCATTGTAAACAGAATTGGCCCTTATGAGAATATTTGTTGTGTGGAAGCTAATTTTAAATGACCCATATTCTTGTTTTTGGTGCTGCAGGGTCTGAAGATGTGTTTCGTCCCATCAGCAGCTGGAGTCATGAGCGTAGTGGTTCGTTTATAGACTGTAAAAGCTCATTTTCTCCTCCACACATGTTCAGCAGATCCTGTATAGTTTATTACAGGTGGATTATATCAGTTTAATCTCATCAATACGCAGGTAATCTGTCATGCTTCGTCAGACACACGCTGCCTGTGACACCCTGACTCAGTCATGACTTCACAAACAGGCAGATAAAAAGCAGACATGTTGAATAAACAGCTGTAATGTGGCAACAGTTAATGTGCTCACGCTTCAGTAGGGTGAGAATACGTTTGTACGTTCATACGTATCATATCAACATTTCTAAAGTGATGTCGTTCAGATGAGCCTTCTCATCACGAGGAGGAGGGGATGGTGGATGGGGTGACTCCCAGGCGACATGGCTGCCAACAGACCACTGTTCAAGACCAACACACAACACAACCTGGTATTTTTAAGGAAATGTTGAGACATTAACAGCTGTGTCTGTGGGGACAAAAGCAGGTCTTTTTTTATTTTTTTTTTTTTACAAGAAGTCAGGACATTTCCAGCTGCGTTTGATGCGACTGAATTGTGTATTTTTCAACAAGATGTTGGGACATTTACAGTCGTGTTTGTGGCGACAAGAACAGGTATATTTTGACAAGAGGTCAGGACATTTACAGCTGTGTTTGTGGCAACACAAGCAGGTACTTTTTGGCAAGAGGTTGGGACATTTTAGCCGTGTTAGTGGCAGCAAGGGCAAGTATTTTTTTTTAAGATGTCAGGACATCAACAGCTGTGTTTGATGCGACTGAATTGTGTATTTTTAACAAGATATTGGGACATTTACAGCTGTAATTTTGGCAACAATAACAGGTAGTCGGGATAGTTCAGCCGTGTTTGTGGGGACAAAACCAGGTGATTTTTGACAAGATGTCAGGACATTTCCAGCTGCGTTTGATGCGACTGATTTGTGTATTTTTCAACAAGATGTTGGGGCATTTACAGTCGTGTTTGTGGCGACAAGAACAGGTATATTTTGACAAGAGGTCAGGACATTTACAGCTGTTCGCGGGGACCAGACCAGGTATTTTTTACAAGACGTTAGTACATTTCCAGCTGTGTTTGTGGCAACACAAGCAGGTACTTTTTGACAAGAGGTTGGGACATTTTAGCCGTGTTAGTGGCAGCAAGGGCAAATATTTTTTTTAACAAGACATTGGGATACTTACAGTCGTGTTTGTTGCGACAAGAACAGGTATTTTTTGACAAGAGGTCAGGATATTTACAGCTGTGTTTGTGTGGACCATACCTTTTTTTTTAGCAAGAAGTTG